TATTTAAGTAATAACATGAGCCAGGCATAGTGGCCTATGTCTTTAATCCTAGTACTTGGGAGGGAGAGGTAGAGGGATCTCTGTGAAATTAAGGCCAGCCCGGTCTACATAGTGAGTTCTAGGCCAGCTAGGGCTATAGGGAGACCCTGTCTCAAAATGACCAAATATAATAATAATAATAATAATAATAATAATAATAATGATAACATGATTACATTGAAAACTTTGTATAGGTTAAATAATATTAAAAATTATTATAGACATAGAATTGAGGTTATATTCTAAAATATAATTACATATTTTTAGTTTGAGAATTATATCAGTTTAGTTATTACAGTACTTTCTATTTTTTTAACTTCCCAGACTGTGATTTTTATCTCTAGACATTCAATTAGAGGACAGGAGAAGGCATAATGGGGCTGTAGAAGAGTAATAGGAAAATAATGGAAAACCTCTTGGTGCCTGGGAATGGGAGTGCTCCATCATCAAGGCCTGGATTCCCAGGACCACATGTGGAGTGAATAACACAGTTGACCCTGGTAATAACACAGTTGACCCTGGTGGGGTAGTCTATTCTAGAGAATCAGTCCTCCCAGGGTTTCCCTGTAGCCCCAGCTGGCCTGGAACCACTATGTAGAGTAGGCTAGCCTCCATCGCCTTTTTTTTTTTTTTTTTGGCTTGACCTGCTATAACATCTATGTAACATACTGTAACATCTATAATGTGTTGCATGAGGTAAAGCCATTCCCAAGTCTTAGCATCAAGCCTTTTGGGCTTCAGTTTTTAAATTGAATCTTGGCGATTTTCTTTCTTTTTTAAAAAAAATTGTATTTATTATTTTTATTTTATGTGTATGCAGGTATTGCCTGCATGTAGGCAAGTGCACCATGTCGTGCAATGCCCCGCGGAGGACAAAAGAGGCTGTCGGATCCCCTAGAACTGTAGTTATGGACAGTTGTTAGCTTCCATATGGGTGCTGGGATTCGAACCTGGGTCTTCTGCAAGAACAGCCAGTGTTCTTAACTGCTGAGACATCTCTCCAGCCTCAAATCTTGGCGATTTTCATATAATATAGTTTGATTGTCTTTAGAGCCTCTCCCCTATCCACACCTCCCCCCACTGCCCCCATCCAAGTTAATATATATATATATATATATATATAGAGAGAGAGAGAGAGAGAGAGAGAGAGTCAGAGTCTAATTTGTCTCCCTAAATGTCCTTCAGTGTGGGAGTGTGGGTGCATCCACTGGGCCCACTAAGAGTCCCATCCCTGTAAGACATTGTCTTTCCCCCTCCCAGCAGCCATCAATTGGCAGAAGTTCCTTGGATTGGAATTTCTTACCAACTTCCCCATGTCTATGCTGGTATTTTGTCTGGTTTGAGCTTACATAGGACTTGTGCATGCTGTCACCATTGCTGCGAGTTTATAACAAGCTGTTTGGAAAACAACTCGTGAAACAGTTATTCTAAGGTTGACGTTTAACCAGATCAATTAACCATTGCTGTCTGGTTTAATACTATTTTCTACTTCTGCATAATGTAAATTTATTCTCTTAATGTTTAAAATATTTTATTATTTGCCTTCATATATGTATGTGCACCTGCATCGTGCAATGCCCACGGATGTCAGAAGAGGACATCAGATTCCCTGGAACAGGAGTTATGGATGGTTGTTAGCCTCCATGTGGGTGCTGGAATCAAACCCAGGTCCTCTGCAAGAGCAGCCAGTGCTCTTATTTTCTGAACCATCTCCCCAGCCCAATTTCTTAATCTTTTAAAAACTTTTGTATATAAATAAGAATGAAATTATATCATTTACAGGAAAATGGATGCAGCTAGAGATCATCATATTAAGCAAAATAAGTCAGACTCAGACAGAAATGCATGTTTTCTCTCACTTGTGGATTTTGTATCTTATCTAGATATACAAATCACATCTATATATTACACAAAATTAAAAGCCAGACAGTCTGGAAGAATAAATTGGAATAGGAAAAGGAGGCGGGAGAAAATTGGAGAGTATGAATATAGGTCAAGTACATGATGTAATTGCATTAAAATGTCCTTATGAAACCCATCACTATGTACAATGAATACATACCAATAATTAATATGAATACATACATATATATGTATATATTTTTTAAAGTGTATTAGCTGTGGGCCAGTCAAAAATATAAATTACCCTGATTGTTTTCACAGAGAGAATTTAATAGAACTTTCTCTGAGTAATGAAACTGAAAAGGTTAGAAAGAAGGCTCTGAGATATCAGAAGGAGCTTTGCAAGTGTGGGACTGCACATATGGTAAGGCAGGATCAGAACTTTGAGGAAGGAATATCCCTAGGCTGGAGCAAGTACCTCTGAGGGGCAAGATGCTGGTTCTTGGAGTGTAGAGGTGACAAAGCTGGATATTAGAGCCAACTGAGGGTCCACAGCAAAGCCTGCTCACAGGAACAGAGAGAGAGAACAGAGCAAGTCCCCCTCTATCCTTCCAGGGCTTCTCTGGTGCTGCCTAGTTGCAGAGACTAACATGGAGCAGCATGCAAAGCAGAAATGGGGATCCCAGGCCCAGCATCATAGAGCAAAGCTAGGGATGATAGCTTAATAGACAGTACAGTGTTAATTCCTTCTTTAATTATTTATAAATCCATTAGAAGGTACATTCCCTGCCAGCACCACTCCCTCTTTTTCACAGAAGCAACAGTCCGGAGGGGATATTGTCACACCGGAAGTTTCCTTCCTGGGGTGCTGGGATTTCTTCACAGTGCATCAAGTACACATAAGATGCACTTCTGTCTTGCCCAACTTTGCAACTGACTGAATAGTTTCTCCCGTGGTTTTAGGCTCTGGAGATCAAAGCTTTTATTTGTGTTCTACTGATCTGTTGTGTTCACTAATGCAGCTTGATTAATATTTAACTTTAAGTTTGTTGAAGCTAAATTAAAATAATTGAAAATTGGGCTGGGCATGGTGGTACACACTTTTAATCCTAGCACTCAGGAAGCAGAGGTGGGTGGATATCTGTGAGAGTAAGGCCAGCCTGGTCTATATATGGAGTTCTAGGCCAGCCTGAGCTACAGGGAAACTTTGTCTCAAAACAACAACAAAATTAAAATTCATTTATTTTTGGTCTCACTAGCCACATTTCAGCAACCTAATAGTCATATATAGCTAATGGTCCCATATTGAACTGCTCAGAATTCATTTCTATTACTGAAAAACATTCTATTAGTCACAGATGTCCTACAGTCTTTTAAATGTTTGTAGGAAACTGGGCACGGTGGTATACATCTGTAATCCCAGCACTTGGGAGCTTGAGGAAGGAGGGTCACTATGAGTTTGAAGTCAGCCTGGGCTAAATAGTGAGTTCCAGGCTAGGCTGGGCTATGTAATGAGACACTGTCTGGATGAATGAATGAATGTATGAATACATTCCAGACATGGTGGTTCATACCTGCAATCCCAGTACTCAGGAGGCTGAGGCATGATAATTAAGGAAAGTTAATCTGGACTACAAAGTGAGTCCTAAGCCTCCCTGGGTTGTAAAGTAAGACATTATCTCAATTAATTAATTGATATTTTATATGAAAGGAAACCGCTGACACCTCGAATCTTCAAGAAAGGAATGTAGTAGCTTCTCCAAACTGTGTTTTTAAACTGATGAACCTTCATTTTCATTGATGAAACTCAGGAAACCTGCTTTGGTTGTATTATAGACCCTTCTATATTTCTGGACATCAGTACTCATGCCTTAACTAAGATTATCTCTAAGTTTGCTTATTTGTTCTAAACTTCCGTGCTAGCTTGTAGCATCTGCTGATATCATTTCCACATTTCCCCTTGGCTTTTTTTCTCGTGCCTAATTTTAAGGAAAAATCAAAGATTTTTCTCCCTAAACCCTTGATTGACCTCCCTCAACCTCCACCCATGTGTTTTAATAATCACTTTTCTGTTTCCATCTCTGGTAACCAGTTTCCCATGGCAACCACTAGTGGTTTATGACCCATAGGACAAAGTCCAATGGTCAGAGCCTTCAGAACATATAGCTTTCCCTCTGGGCTGTGCCCTTGCCACCTTTTTTCGCCTTGCCCCAGGTCAAGCATCACTTGCTGTTCCCTTGACTACATGCTCGAGTTTTGCTCAGCTCTTCCCTTTACCTCCTGTCCTTTTGTCCACCTCTTTGATCATCTTAACAGAAACCTACTTCAGTGACAGCATGAGCTGCTGCTCTTTTGAATGATGATTGTGCAAGGTCATGCTGTACCCAGGCTGCTCCCTGACAATTACTGATCCTGGCAGAGGTGCATCTCCTCCAGTAGGGAGATTTGGGCTGGGGACTCCCCTGTGGCCATCTCACAGCAGTGCCCTGTGAGACACCTCCCGCCTGACTGATTCTTGCCCATTCTTCTTTCAAGGGATTAGACCTGCACTGCAGTCTGGCAGTGTCCTGCCCTCTTCCCCTTCACTCTTCATACACCTTCTCCCCAATAACTCTCATATGCCTAATCTTGTCATTTGTGTGTCAGAGACCAGAATTGACACATTGATAATTTCTCCTATTCGGACTATTCAAGAGTATTTATTCATCCAAATTTGTGCAGCCCTCTGTGGTGGCCTCTATTATGTCACTGCATTTGACCACAACTGCTGTTGACGATTGTGCCTGTCTCCTCCACCAGGCAGTTCCCTGTGATCAGCCTGTTTCTCCTATTCTACTTTCCTTGTATTTGGCATGCATTAAAACATGCTTACTGAGTTGGACTCAGTTATCCTTTGAGGGGCTAAATAATCCTCTTTCGATATGACTCATGATAAAGGAAGGCGTATTGCATGTCTCTGGTTAAAAAAAAAATGATGCAACCAAAGGATTTATGCATGAGAGAAGGCTCTGTCTACCATTAATGAAGCACTTAAATCCACTCACTTATGTACTAATGGTCCATTTCAGTTTTAAGCAATATGGCTTCCCCAAGTCACTGTTCATTTGCTTTCCATATAGGCACTCTGCAGTACATGGCACCTGAGATAATTGATCAAGGACCTCGTGGATATGGTGCCCCAGCTGATATCTGGTCTCTGGGCTGCACCATCATTGAGATGGCTACCAGCCGGCCTCCATTCCATGAGCTTGGTGAGCCACAAGCAGCAATGTTCAAGGTAAAATAGCTTTGTTTATTTAAGTGGTTTAGATGTTGGGGCAAAACTTCCAGATGTGAAGTGCAGGATTCTGTCACTGAAGTAAGTACAGGATGTTCAGTAGGCTCTTGAGTGTTCTGTATTCTGGGTGCCATCACTGTTCTCATCGTGATTGGGCCCCTGCAGAGGCTTCTCACAGCTTGCCACCTCCACATCAGCTGCCAGGATAGCTCCAAAGCCAAGATACCAAATCAAGAGTCTTCTGACCCTTCAACTACAATAGAACCCTGAATGGAATGCAAGGGCTGGAAGACAGCAATGACTTGCCCTCAGCACACTGATGACTACAATGGACCCATTTGGGTCCACTGATGATCATACATACCTGCAAGCTTCCATCACAGGCCTTGGAATCTAGAATGGCTGGTGCTAGGAAAACATGCTGTCTACTCTCTGATCTATTGACTTCCTGTGAATCTTAGGAAGCCCAGCTGACAGGTACAACTTTGTGAATTCGTCCATAGTGTATAAGTAACTCTCCTGATCTTCCTGTCTCCTGTTTTTACTTAGCTAATTAGCTGTGCAAACTCTTGGAAACTGTATTGACTTTTTCAGTGGCATATAAAGTAAGTTTTTATTTTATAAATGTCACCTGTGTTATCTGGGGTTCTAGAATCCTCCAGAAAAAAATCCAAGGAACTTCTATTATGCTGCGCCTTAAAAAAAGAATTATTTTTACACAAAGGGGACAATTATGTTTGTGTAACCTAAAATGATATGTGGAAGCTCTAGCCCCAGTAATTGAGAACATGCCCTTATTTTGTAAGCAGAATCTTTACAGAGGTAACCAAGTTAAAATGGGGTCAGTAGAGTAGGCCCTAATGCAACATGATAGGTATCCTTATATGAAGGAGATATCTTGGCATAGAGGTCCCAGCACTTGGAAGGCTGAGACAACAGGATCACAAATTCAGGAGAAGCCAGGGCAACTTAGTAAGATGTTTTCTCAAAAGCAAACACACATATACTTGGTCATAGAGACATGTAGAGATAACCATGAGGGCGCAGAGAATGTCATGTGGAGGCAGTGAGTTGGGGTGATGCATCTTCATGTCTGGAAATGGAGAAATGGCCTACAAACCAGAAGAGGTAAAGAGGAATTCCCTACATGTCAGAAGGAGTCTGGCCCTCAAAGACTTTGATCTCTGACTTCCAGCCTTCAGAACTTTAAGAGAATCCTTTACTGTTGTGTGAGTCACTTAGTCTGTGGTACTGTCAGAACAGCCCTAACAAACCAATGTAGGAGCTTTAGGGTCACCGCAAAGCATTCTTAGTGATGTACTTACAACAGGTGTGGTGGCACTTGCCTATTATAATCTCTGCTCTTGAGAGGTGGAGGTGGGAGGATCAGGAGTTCAAGGCTGTCCTCAGCTACACAGTAAGTGTGAGGCCAGCATGAGATACACAAGAATCTGTTTCAACCGCACCCCACCCCACCATGCAAAGTGATGCCCTTGCAAGGTGCCAGGTGCTACCCACTTTGCCATTTTCTTTCTGAGAGAGGGGAAACTACCTCTTTCCACTTTAGATTCAGATCCTGAATTTTTACCTTTGTTCATTCTGCTGCTAATGGGCACTTCCAATGTTTCTTCCCTATTGCTCAGGTGAGGGTTGCTGCCAGTAATGCACCCTGTGTTTCCTGGTGATTGGATTCCATCTAGCATTTATAACTCTTAAGCTGTTCATCCATTCTAGCTATGAGGGATACTGTCCTGAGAATGTACATACCACTTGGTCAAAGGCTTTGGGTAGATAAAACTGGAAGACTCTATAGTTTTCAGTGCGCATGCAGTGGATCAAGGGAGTCTGAACCAGCCTCTGGACAGCCTAGGAGTGGGCAAGGAACATGGATATGGAAGACAGAGTGGCTTCTACCTCTGAATTGCCAAGTAGACTTGAAAAAGATAGAGGGAAAACCATGGATTTTAAGATAACTCCTTAAAAGGCTCGAGAGCCACTCTAATGAGCACAGTTGTTCAGGAAGAGGTTCTGTGAGATTTTTCATGAGATTCCCATGTCATGATGAGATGTGGTGACATCTGGGAACAGACTCTTGCTCCCCTGTGGGTCAAAGGGACAGCCTTTAGCAGGACAGTGATTAGCTGACTAGAAGGGATGCCAAAGCAACCCTGTCCTAGCACATTCTAGCCAGAAAGCACAGCATTATACCCTATGGGGAAGAGGCTGGGGGTTGCTGTGGACGCTGGGAGGTAGTAGCCTCAAGCTGTGCTTCCTTGTGGCATATTTCTGAAGTCTGGGCTGTGGATTGAGAGAGATTGAGAGGTATGAGGGGAAGTGATGCTCCTGGGGTCTTTGTGTCTGAGAACAGTATCAACCTTTGAATATTCTCAGCTGGAAGCTTTCCTGCCCAAGTCACTGTTGGTTGTTATCTCTTATAGAGTGACAAACCTCCAGTACACTCTGGGCTTAAAGCAAAGCTGTTCCTCACCATTCTGAGTTGACTGTAAGTCCTGCAGTGGTCTTTCCTGCATTTACTCATTGGGTGCATCCAACTAGTGGTCTCACTGGGGCAGGATCATCTGACAGGGCTCTTCTGAATGGCTGAAGGCTGGGCTACTTTCTCCATAGTCCTGTCATCCTGGCTTTCTTTTCATGGTATGTGGCGGTCGCCAGACTCCAAAAAGGCAAAAGCAGTGTCTACCAGGCCTCTTAAGGTGTTGGCCCTGAAAACATCACAATAGTGCTTCCCCAACAATCTCTTGGTCAAACAAGGTCATGAGAAGCTAGCGAGGACTCCAAGGCAGGGGAAATAGACCCCATCTGTGGATGAGAGGCACAGAAATATCCCATAACAAGAGGGCCATCTATACAAATGAGTATCACCATGGTCATATACTCCAGCGCCTCATGGGATGGCAGATGTGGGATCTTCCTATCAAAAACACACGTACCTGAATTCACTCAAGGCCCACTGACATAAGTCCTTACCTCTCCCATTAACACAGGTGGGAATGTTTAAGATCCACCCTGAGATTCCAGAATCCCTTTCAGCTGAGGCCAGAGCCTTCATCTTATCCTGTTTTGAGCCTGATCCTCACAAAAGGGTCACTGCCGCTGACCTACTCAGAGAAGGGTTCTTAAGACAAGTGAACAAAGGCAAGAAGAACCGAATTGCTTTCAAGCCCTCAGGTGAGGCCTACCTGGATGGTGGTGGAATCCCCAGGAATTGGACTTTTGTGTTGTTCAGATAGAGAAGTGGCTCCTAGAGCATGGAACTTCCCATGCTGGGCTCCTCTGTGTGAGGAACAGCAAGGGTGGTGCAGTATGTTTGAAGGGGGTACAAACCCAGCTAACAAATGTCTATCTCCTGATTAGGCACAGGGAACATAGGTCACTATGACACCCCTCCTCTACTTGGTTAAAGTCCTTCTTTGGAGAGTGTGCAGAGGGGGAAGGCAAAAGGTCCCCTGCTTGAGGTTATATGCCTTTCCCGCATGCAAAGCCCTGTACTTCATTCATTTCTGGAGTTTGGCCTGTCAACTTGTGTTGATCCTGTCCTTAATTTTAAATATTTTATGATTTTTGTTTTAATTTTATGTGTATGAGTGTTATGCCTGCATGTAGGTAAGTGCTCCCATTGTCATGCAATGCCCACAGAGAACAGAAGAGGCTGTCGGATCCCCTGGAACTGGAGTTACCAACAGTTGTTAGCTGCCATGTGGGTGCTGGGATTCGAACCCAGGTCTTCTGCAAGAACAGTCTTAACCACTGAGCCATCTCTCCAGCCCCTGGCCTTGATTTTTTTTTTTAAAAAAAAAGCATGTTAGGGAAGTCTGCATATGGTACCTGTTCTGCAGGCTACGGAATCTGAGCTGACAACTTCTGGTGCAGTAAGTCCTGTCAGTGAACCAATGTTGGTTTCTAAGAAGAAAGCTGTTTGTCCTCTTCCTGTTGTGAGTGGGTGGGTCAGATGCTATGGCAGTATGGCTCACCAGCTTGCTGCAGAGACCCTAGTCTTCTTGTGGCAGCATCCCGTGAGGTCCAGCCCAGCCTACATTTTTCACTAGGATCCCACCCCAGGTGACTACCACCAGGTTAAGGCAGTGCAGGCTTAGCGAGCCTGTGTGGGTACCTGGCCCTTCTCTGAGCCTCCCCATTCTCTGTCTTCCCACAGAGGGTGTCCGGAGTGGCACTGGTGCCCTCGGCCTGCCCTCATCAGGTGACTTAGTGGGCAGCAGCAGCAGCGAGCATGGCTCCATTTCTCCAGATTCTGATGCCCAGCCTGAAGCATTCTTTGAGAAGGTCCAGGCCCCTAAGCATCAGTTCAGCCACCTTCTCAGGTACTGTCGGTGTCCCTTGTCCTTCTGCTGTGGTCCTCTGAGGACTGCTGGTGTTCCTCAGTGGCAGAATACCTGCTGGGTCACAACCAGGCAGCTGGGAAGGGCTTTTGCCTCCTTTTGGCAGTGCAGCAGGGTGGCCAAGGGGACACTTCCTTTTGACTTAGTGCACCTTGTTTCCTAGCCTTTCGCTTCTCCTGTCTCTCTTCTTCCTCCCTCCCTCTTCCTGTCTGCTCCTCCCCTCACCCTCTCTGCTGGTCCCCCTCTTCCTCTAGTATTTCTCTCCCTCTTACCTCCCTCCCTTCCACACCTCCCACCCCACTTTTTGGTTCCCTTTCCTCTTTTTCTCCTCCCCCCTACCACGGGTGCCCATGGGAGAGTCAAGGAGGGGGGACACCGCATGTCTTGCCCACCAGCACTCCTACAAGTTCCTCTTCTGGAGCCTGGAGACGGCAGTGCATTCCTCTCAGCCCCTCACCCACAGCAGAATGTGCTAACTTCACAGGCACACACACACACGGATGGTTGCATGTGTTTGTCCACAGTGTCCCAGATGAGAGCTCTGCCTTAGAAGACCGGAGCACAGCCTCCTCATTCCCAGAGGACAGGGACCCAGGCCTCTTCCTGCTGCGCAAGGAGAGTGAGCACAGGGCCATTCTGTACAAAATCCTTTGGGAAGAACAGGATCAAGTGGCTTCCAACTTGCAGGAGTGTGTGGTCCAGGTACAGGCTCCAGGGAGGGCATCTGATAATCCCACCCCTCTGCCTAGTCCAAGTCTTCAGCAGGTATAAACAGGGACAGCAGGGCTCCCTGCACCCTGAAACACTGGCATAGTTGTACTGATCACTGTATCTCCTATCACTGTCTTTCCATCATCCTTTCCTTTCCCAATGAAATCCAAAGGGAAACTTGGCAGAAAGTTGGCTGAGTACGCAGTGCCTCTGGCAATGACTGGTAGGTTGATGCTGCCTCCTGGTGGAAAACAAGCCAGATGGCAGCCAGGAGCCCTGGAAGGTGCAAGAGTTCTCAGCAGCCTCTGGCCTCCTCTCACCTTCTAGGACATTCTGGACCTCCACGCAGAAGCCAAGCGAACAGCCACTTTAGGGAGAATGATAATGGAGGAAAAGGGAGTTTTAAGTAGGTCACACTAGTGGCAAACTGATCCTTCTGCCTTTATTTTGCACGGGAAGGTTTTGAAGGTTTTGTCTTGTGAACTATGCCTTCCTAGAAGGCCCACTGATGAGGGTCCTATGGAGTGGTCAAAGAAGGCAGAACCATTTTTTCTCAAGAGGTTAGTGCTGAGGCTGTAAGGCCACCGACTCATCAGGGAGGAGGAACCAGAAGACAAGGATGGACATGGAAGGGATACAGGAAGAGACCCCTTTTCTCTGGGAGTTCCCACAGTTAATTAGCAAACACATTCTAGTTTCCTACTATTTGAGTTTTCTATCCCTCTTTCTCAGAGCTCAGAAGAGTTGCTTCTCTCAGATGGCCACATCAAGCAGATAATTGGAATTCTGAGGGATTTCATCCGCTTCCCAGAGCACAGGGTGATGGCAGCCACAATATCAAAACTAAAGGTGGATCTGGACTTTGACAGCTCATCCATCCATCAGATTCACCTGATCCTGTTTGGATTCCAGGATGCTGTGAGTGCGCTATCCTGTCCTAGAGAACAAGTGAAACTAGAGTTCAGTCAGCATTTTCTTCTGTAGCTCCCAGCCCTTCCTACCTATTTACAACCTGAATCCTGAATTTCAGCAACTCTCTCTTAAACACTAATAGACCAATTGCATTTGGCCACAAAGAGCATGTCTAGGACATGGTAACAAGGCATCTGCCAGCACAGTGGGTATGTTCTTGTGCCTGCCTAGATGAGGTTACTCCAGAACCCAAAACAGGTCTCGTTCATCTGGTATCACATGCTCCCAATACAGTCTTTCATTTCACAGATGCTCAATTCACAGATCCCTTGAATAAGTAATCAAGAAGCCCAGTGAGGTTGATCCCATTGCTGTATTCATCTTTTTGATCTCAACATGACTTAGCGTTTACCTAGAGGAAAATTCATTCAGAAGAAATATGTCAGGCAGAAATCAGGGCAGCATAGCTAATACATCATGTCAGAGGGAGAAGCAAATTAGAACTAGCAGGAACTTTTATTTCTTAAAGTGCAACAGAATAGACATATGGACTTCTGTGATTTTTTTAGGTAAATAAAATTTTGAGAAACCACTTGATCAGGCCACATTGGATGTTTGCAATGGACAACATCATCCGCAGAGCAGTGCAGGCTGCGGTCACCATTCTCACCCCAGGTAGGTGACCTCGTCTTACAGCGAAGCGAAGCTTCAGGCTGTGGAACAGACCAACACTATCCTCTGCATTCAACCATTGCTACTTTTGCCTTGTCAGCTTTATAGTTGCCTGCAGTTAAGTAGATGCTGTCATAGATCTTTCTGGGGCTAATAGTCTATGATAGCATCTCATGGTGCCCATTTACCTGCCCTGTAGGCATAATGAAGTGACTGTGTACAGATTATCCTTCTGATCTTAACAGGGAGTCAATGTTTGAAGGCAGGGAGCCTCCAGTGCTTACACAGCTACTTCAGTGTGCATGCTCACCGAGCCTTTATCAGTTGATAATTAATTGGCTGTTTGTTCTCTTAGAATCATCCTCTCACAGAAACTGGTCTTGGTATGTGTGCTTATGTATATGCACATTTATTCTAAGAGTCAAACTCGGGGCCTCATGCCTGCTAAAGTTCATGCAGTACCTCTGAGCTATGCCCCTAGCCACAATCTTGGGCTTCTGTACACCTCTTTTTGAAATGTTAGAGCAGCTTAATGGTCAAGTTGCTTCTCCTTCTGTGGTACTTTATATGTAAACTGGAGATGAGCATGCTTACACTACAGAGAACCCAATTGTTTCCTCTTGTAAAGTCAGTAATCCCCTCATGATGCATTGCACTGAATTGCCTTGGCTCCACTGAAATGCTAGTTTGATACCTTCATCTGTGTTTTTATAGAGCTCCAAGCCCACTTTGAGCCTGCCTCTGAGACTGAAGGGGTAGATAAGGTCATAGAAGAGGAAAGGGACTGTCCCCTAATAGACCTGCCCAACAGAGAAGAGCACATGATACCCAGAGGCAACAGACCTGGCTTGATGGCTCTGCAGGAGGGCCAGCAGCACCAGCAGCACCTGAGCCTCCAACTGAGCAATCTCAGGCAAGAGACCAACAGGTAAGGCTGTCCCACCCAACTACCTGGATCAGGGGTGAACAGTGGCCTGAACCACCAGGACCCATTGGTTGTTGAAAACTTTACCCACGACTCAGAAAAACATATGTCACTGTCAATGAACTGGGCAAGGGTGCATCTGCCGCATTAGCAGGGGAGCTAGAAGGCCCTTTAAAACATTTTTATGAGTATTATGCCTGTGTATAAGTGCACTCATGTCATGCAATTCCCGCAGAGGACAGAAGAGGATGTTGGATCCTCTGCTACTGGAATTACGGATGGTTGTTAGCCATCATGTGGGTGCTGGGATTTGAACCTGGGTCTTCTGCAAGAACAGCCACTACTCTTAACCACTGAGCCATCTCTCTAGCCCAGGCCTTCCTTCTTGTAATGCCAGAAACCAGACGTACAGAGCCCTGCAACAGATCACAGAGACATCTACCATACCAAAAGTATCAGTATCTGAGTCTTGTGTTCAACACGATGGGGCATGTGTCCCAGCAGTGGATAGCTGTAGCCTTTGGGGTGGGGGTGTATCCTACAACTCTCCCCTAAAAAACTTCCCGATCACTAATTATAATCCCTAGGCAGGCATTAGTAGATTGCCTTATCAACCCGGGGACCTTGGAACTGCCATAATGTTCTCCCAAGCGCACTACTGTTTTGTTACAATTCCCCTCTGCTCTGGAGAATCATATTATCAATAACCTCTTTAAAAATGTCCACAACTACAAGAAACTAGTAGGCGCCTGTTCCAAATGATGTACTGTTGGCTTTCTTATCATTAGCAATGCTAACATAATGGGGAGATTGGGTACTGGGCACACGTTTTGGATGAAAAAAGTGTATACAGTACACTTAGGGAAATCTGAAGTTTAATCTTAGGCAGAACATTTTTAAAAAAGCCAAGACCCAGAACTGTAATTAAATGGTGGCAGAACTTTACATTTTAAAATGACAAATATAGAAGTTGGTAGTAAAACTTAGTATTCCTTTAAAACTTCTTTCCAGTAAGATTTATAATCATCCAACTCATACAATGTTCTATATAGACGCAAAGGTTATTTGAACAGTCAGCACATTAGTGTGAACGGCTAATAAATGCACAGCCTGCTTGTCCTTAGGGTCTGACCCCAACATGTCTGGGAACGCTTCCCACTAACTGTGCACAGGTTCAAGCTACAATTTCAGTGTGCTCAAAGAGGTTCTTCTTAAAGACAAAGGTAGGGTAGGGATGGGAAAGGGTTTTTTACTTGAGTGCCAGCATTTCCTCCTTGCTGTCTTGCTGGGATAGAAGTGTCCATCTCTCCCCACTCCATTTTGCTACTGAATGACTCGAGACTACAATGTTTCCAACCATTTATAGATCTATGACTTCTCAGAAACATTAATTAACTTTATTTACTTAAAGCTTAGTTCTGTAGTCCCTTGTTCACCATCACAGATAAATGAATTAAAAGGGCATGCAGTTAAACCAATCTTATTAGATACATGAACAAAGAAAAAAGGCTAGCCATGGTTCTGACCTTCCAACCCTGTTCCCTTCCTGTGCTGGGGGAGCTAGCATGGGGAGAACCCATGAGTTTCAGGTTCAGCTGCACCAAAACCTGCCTTTCCTGTTCTGGAGAGACAGACTGTTATCAGGAGATCATCCTGATGGGCTGGGTGAATTATTCTCAGGGCCTTAGTCACTTCAGCTTTAAAACTGGGCTTAGAAAAGAATATTTACTTCCTGCAAGTGTTATGAGACTTACCCAACTTAAGGTGTTGAGGATAATCCTAGACGCTGTGTGGAGTACTTGGTGACTTTGCAGCAGCAATGTGCACTGTTCCTTAGTCCCCAGCTGTTAGCTCAGAAACAGTTCTCTTGCTTCCACTGAGCGGAGGACGTCTGCCCACCCTAGATTCAGCTACTTTTATCTGACTTACTTTTAGTAAGCTGGTGGTCCTTCTGGCCGAGTCCTATTAATCAACATGAAACTCACTTTTGTTTCCCGATTCATTTCAAAATGTAACTGTCTCAGTTCACACAGGCTGCTCTAACAAAATATAAACTGGTTGCCTTATAATCAAATTTATTTCTCACAGCTCTGGAGACCCTGAAGTTCAAGATCAAAGTGGTGGCAGATCCGGCATCTGGTGAGGGCCTGCCTCCTGGTGCACAAACAGCTGTCCAATCACAGGTCCTCACGTGGTGAAAGGGCTCTAATCTCCTCTTCCTAAGGCTCCAACCTTCTAATATTTTAACAGAAATTTCAGAGGGACAATTTCACGCCATTGCAAAAATACACCCACACTTTGAGTACGGGTCTTTGGTGTCAAGGAAAATAAAAACACAAGTTTCTTCTACAGAGGCTGAAACCTAGTGGCAGAACTGAGGAAACGACCCACCTGCTTCTTTCTGTAGCCCCACTGTTGGGATTATGTCTGTTTGTTTTCCCAGTATCTAATGTTTGAGTTGAATTGTGAACTTTGAATAATGGCTTTTTTTCTTTTTTAAAAAAACAGACTTTGGGAACACCTAGTTCAAAAAGAGAGAGAGTACCAGAATCTTCTACAGCTGACTCTACAACAGAAAACTCAAGAGTTACATCACCTTCAGTTACAATACAAACCTGTCGGTGAGTTCCTTTCCATCTGCTCTAATGTAGGTGTGTGTGAGGGACAATACAGTAAGTCAGGTCTCTAAATTCTGGACTACTACTCATAAAAAACAACATGAATTGATGTTATATGCAGTATGCCAAGGGAAAGAGCCAGATTTGAGGAGGACTATTAGAAGTACAGAAAGGGACCAGTATGAGAGATGGGGGAAGAGTGTTAAATATAATCACAGTATCTTACATACATGGATGAAAATGTCATAGTCAAACCTATTATTCTGTACACTTAGCATATACTAATATGAAAAATGCCTCCATACTGATTCTGGTTCCATATTCTGGAACAGGCAAAACTATAATGGACAGAAATCAGAATGGGTAGAGGAGGGCTCAGAAGGTAACAGGGTAACAAATGAATCTTGGTTGTGATGCATAACTGCGTGTCAAACAAACTCTAAAAGTATGCCTTAGACTGGCTCTCAGATTGTACCCCTTAGGAAAGGGTTACATCTACCTCTTGGAATGAGAAATGGATACGCCCTGTTGCAAAAATCTTAATACAAGCTTCTTTCCTTTACTTCCAGTGCAGTCAGGGATATCGAGCCTAAAATAAGGCACTTTAAAACATTTAAATGACTGATGCCACCATCTCAAATTCCAAACATTGAAGATGTCCTAGGTAACACTGATCATTGATTCTACTGTCTGGAAAGGAATCCAAGAATTACAAATTGCATAATATGTATTAAAGCAGCTGAATCATTTCCTTTTCACAGCACATTTACATTCTCGATACTTTATTACATCCACTTTGTTACTTTTGAAGCATTTTATGGTTACACATTACATACAATAAAACAAATCTGTGATCATTACAGGTGGTACAGAGAACCCAGTACCCACTGATGGACTGGGAACAGATAGAGAGCTTATAGACTGGTTGCAGGTACAAGGAGTGGATGCAAATACAATAGAAAAGGTAAATTTCTAAATCAAAAGGATTCCCGTAATATTGTTGGAAAGCTGCTTCTCTCATATAGTGAATCTTTGTTTCAGATTGTTGGAGAGGATTATACACTTTCTGATATTCTTAATGATATCACTAAGGAAGATCTAAGATGCCTCAGACTACGGTAAGGCCTTCCAAACAGTTTGCATGATAGAATTAATTTTTCATATGAATATCTTTTTAAATGAAATAGAAGACAAAGTGCTGGTAACTTCCCCCAATCTTTGAAATTGATTCCCTTTCCTATGTCTTAGCAAACACTAGTGGCCCTCCAAACTCTGGAGTTTTTCCAGATTCAAGGTGAGAAGGCAACATGAGAAGCCAGGCCCTTCCAGTGGCGGCCTGCACGCCTATGGCACCATATGCAAACACTGCTAGGGCACGTGTTAACTTTCGCACATGAAGACAGCATACTTTCAAAATGTAAGGCTCTAACTTATGGCAAATGTAGAATGATGCCTGTGACATCTGCCTTAAGTGTCCTATGGAAGAGGTTATTGAGGTTTGCTTTTCTTATGGAAACTCTCCTATTTTACAGTGGTGGTGTCCTCTGTAGGCTCTGGCATGCCGTCTCCCAGCACAGAAGACAAACTCGGGAATCCTCACAGTGAGCTAAGCTGGGGATAGTGAGCAAACACCCTGCCTGTTTGTGGTTAAAGCTTCTATTCACGTACACACACATTCTGCTGAGTTTACACTGAAAGACCCTTATTAATTTGCAGTTTAAAGACTGTCCTTATTGAAACATTTAAAAAAATTTATTTTATAAAGATGATTAGGATTTATAGAACTGTATGTAATGCCAGCAGTGAGACTGTCCTTATTGAAACATTTAAAAAAATTTATTTTATAAAGATGATTAGGATTTATAGAACTGTATGTAATGCCAGCAGTGACCCAGTATATTACATTTTCAAGATTATACTTCAGCACACATTGTAGTACTTGCTGGAAAGATAAAGCACTGGGTATTTAAAAGAGCAGGAGTCCCCGTCTGATGAACCTAGCATAATACTTAAATGTGAAAGGTTAGGAAGTGTGCCTTGCAATGGGAATGTAAATCCATGTTTGTTGAATGTCTAAATGGAGAAAAGTAAATTATTTTACCTTTGACATGATTGTGAAGTAGTTTTATTTTAAAATGCAATGATTCTTTCAGCCCTTTCCTGATTATAATAGTCTACTATGGAGACATGATCAGTGTTTACAGCATCCAGTGCCACAATGCAGGGCTAGTGTGGCTGCTACTCTTCTACCTGAGCGCATATCCCAGCATTGTCTCCATGAGGACATAGCTACGATTGCCCCAGAAAAGGTGGCAGGCTTGCTCCTTTTAGTATGTGTTCTAGGATATGAGCGAAGGTTAAAGTCTGCATCACCTATTTCAAACCTATATAAACCCAATACACTTTATAGTATTCACATGAAATACATCTAATGCATCAATGTACAAACTGCATGCAATTATTCTCCCTTTAATTTACAGGTTATTTTGCAAGACTTTTGTTGTCCAGATATTATTACCTGTCCTTTAAAGTTGAGAGCACAGAGTTCCTTAAGAGTGGATGACAAACAGCTCATCCATTACACACAGGCTCCTATTAACTGACTGACTTAAACTTGATCCACTGGTTCGCACCACGCACTTCAAAAGGTGGTTCGCTGCTGTAGATGTGATAGCCTAATTCCTCCAAGGGTGGCTCAGGATCAGCTGTGGCAAACTGGGCAGCATCCTCGATTTCTTTCCTCACCTCAACGTCAATCTCCTAAACATAAGATATAGTGCAAGAGGTTTCGGAATCAACAATAGCTTTGATACACTAGAATTGTCTCAGAACCTGTTGTTAGTGTCACTATGACTTTTCCAATACTAGAAGTAGCACTGTTCATTATTTTGAATGACAATTATATAAGAGAACAGCACAGGAATTAAAAATACAAAGTATATATTGAGGGGAGATGTAAAAGCTTTTGCACCAATATAATTGACTTAATCTTCTATTGCTCTTTACCTTCCTTTGAGACAAGGCTCCAACTAACCCCAGGAGCTCACTGCTTGGCTATGCCAGCTGGCCAACTGGCCTGCCTCTACCCAAAGCTAGGGTTGCAGACATGCACTACCATTCTCCATTCTCAGCTTTTACGTGGGTACTGGGAACCCAAGCTCAGATCCTCATGGCTGTGCAGTAGGTACTTTACCAAGAGAGCCATCTCCCTTGCTCCCCAGTTCTTAGCAGAAAGACCAAAAACAATAGCCCCGTGAGATTTCAGAATTAACAATGCTCCATCTCTTCACTTTTCTGGGCTTGGATATAAGCAACTCTCTGGCTACCCAAGGGTGGCAACATTTTGTGAGGGGTGAGAAAGTGATTGCAGAGAAAGGAGAGCCAGCCTTTAAGCCAGACTTAAACCTCCAACTATACCTTTAATTCTTCAACACTTGCAAGATTGCTGTTCACCATTCTATCCTTGAGAAGCATAATAGGGTCACTCTTACTTCTTACTTCCTGGATTTCTTCTCGTGTGCGGTAACTGTGGGGAGGGAGACACAAGTGACAGACAGGTAAGAACAGTGCCTGTAGATTTGGGGGGAGGTATCTGAAAATGATCAAAATGCATCGCACGAAATTCTCATTTTAAAACAGTGACTACGGAGCAGACAGTAAAACACAGGAGACTGTTTTTGAAAGGGAGGAAACACGAATACCGATGTCAATGTGTGGAACAGCAGGGGTGGCAGGCTGTTAGGCATCTTTTATAGAAAGCTCTTCATTATAACTCAGGGCTCCTCTAGCATTCTGACAAGGGCCACATTTTGGTTTCCTTTTTGGTCTGGAAGGGACACTAGTCCCACCCCTCTGACCTCATGTTTTTACATGGGTTGAGCAGTAGAAGCAAGCACAGGCTTTGATGCATCATAATAGTAAGCAGGAAACACATATGCCTTGCCTTTCCCATTAATACCCCAAAGCAGCATGGCCAGCAAATGCTTGGACACCAGGTTTTCTGATTGCTTCTATAATTTACAAAGCACATTTTTTTCCTCCATTATTTGCTCTGTCTGCCATTAAAATCTATTCTACAAAGGCTTTTAACTTTGACTACAGCAACTTCTTTTAACTGTGCCAAACCTGTGAATTCAGAATTACATCCTAGAGCTAAAGGAAAAGGGAAAACTCCTACCTTCCATGTGCCAGTTAGCCTGGCTCCCTATCAGAGGATTTCCAAATCCTAGTCTTCTTTTGTCTCGCCTAAATTTGAGGTAATAACTACATAAAATAAATGCCCCCAAAATATTACTCTATCAACAGATTTGTTTTGCATTAAGTTTCTCACTTATACTTTAGTTACATAATGCTTTTTGTAAAATTAGTGCTCATGCTAACACACAGACATACAGTAGGGCTCTTCAGACTGCCCTCTATATTGAAGCATTGCTTTTGGATCAAGAAACTACTACTTGATGCCAACAAAACTAGTTTGATGAAGTGAATTTGTATCTGGATGCTACAGCAAATACTGAAATGCTCTGCCATTTTATTTAAGCAGCCCTGAAGCCCACCCACTCTGGAAACTACGCTTGAGATTCCCCATAATTACCTGACTCCAGGGTCACTCATACTGTGTCCATGGTAACGGTATGTCTGCAGCTCCATCAGGATGGGCCCCTGAAATAGAGCACACAAGTGGTAAGACAATGGGGACAGCAAGCCAACAATCCTTGGGCTCAAATGAAGGACTCCCACCCCCAGCATCCAATACCCTTGCATCTAGCATCTATAAATCAGCTGACTTGTCAAGAGTTTATTGGTTGACTTTTGTTTTGTTTTTGAAGGGGGTCTTTTGGGACAGTCTCCCTATAGCCCCTGATGGCCTCCATCTCACAGAGATCTGCCTGCCTCTGCATCCTGAGTGCTGGGCTTACAGGTGTGAGTGACAACACCAAGCTGGTTGGCTGATTTTTAATACCTAATTATACCCCTTCTCATTTTTGCCAAGAAATAAACTGTAGGGGTGTGATTTCCAGGCTGTGGACCACTGATTCAGAACAACTGGTTAAACTAGCACTGAAGCTACTTCAACCTCCTTTTTTGCCACTCTGACTGTTCCCCTTTCCCTTACTGCCACACACTGAAAGATAAAAAGCTCAAGATCGATTACGCTATTATATAAGCGTGGGGGATTCCAATTTGATCAACCAAGTGTCTTATGATTAATGAGGAATACATAATAACCAAACCAAAAGGTAAAATATTGTTATAGTGAAGACAGAGGCCAACTGCCAAGGAAACACTACAAGCAAAGATTTACCTCACATAGGAGAATTGTGGACTGTTTACCAAAAGATGACCATGCTATTCAGAGACCCATCCATCCACCTGATGGACTCTGCTTTCCTAACACAGCTCACTTAGCCACTACCCCGGGATAGTTACAACAGTTACTTGGGAAGACTGCTTTTATCTTTGAGAGCAATGTCATAAATCTATAGCCAGAAAAAAACAAATCAAAACAAAACAAAATTTTACCTTTCCAGACCTACAATAGGCTGCTGCAAACTTGGTTGCCTCTCGGACACACAAGATATCCATTCCATCTACCTGTTAATAAAGGGGGAAGGGGCAGAATTTACCATCCAAATCCATTTTACCTTTATTGTGCTGTGGGGAGATGGAACCCAGGGCCTCACAAGCTAGGTAAGTACTGTACAACTGAGACACAGCTCCCAACCCCCACTATGACTTTTACATAACCTATTCATGCTTAAGATGATAAAATGGTTCAATTTTGCTAAGACTGTCAAAGCATGCAACAGGAAGGGCATCTAGCCGACAGGGTGTGACTCTGTTTCTATAATAAGTGACCTTACCCTCAGCCCAGGAATAAAATCTCCTCTCTTGTAGTAATCTGTGCTGGCCGCTGCTCTCTCAACCGATGTTCCCATTCCATAGCGATTATTCTCACAGATGAAAATACAAGGCAATTTCCATAATGCTGCCATATTGTAAGCCTCAAATATTTGACCCTAAATGTATTTATGAAAAGGTCAAGTGGTTTCATTTGCTTATTTCCCTAAACGATATCACCATTCCTAACAATTGTTGCTCTGCCAGGCACAAAGAGCTAGCACAAGGCTGAAAAGCCTCGCCTTCTAGATCCAAGTTTCTGGTGGTGAGAAAGGAGCGTGAGTTGGGGATGGTGAGAAGCAGCAGCATCAGACATTCTGAGGCCCTGCTACTAATGTAAAACACACTGCAAAGATCAACATGGAAAAATGTGGCCACCCAATCAGTTTTATGCTTTATCATCATCCATCAGACCTGCTGATAATCAGAGTAAACCAGCATCTGAGATTCAGCATCTAGGACAGGATCTCAATAAGTGCCCTTCAGGGACTGGTGATTACTGAGACCAGAACAGGGTGAGCAAAGCTATGAAGAGGCAAGGTTCGGACACCACTAGACTACTTTGACATTGCCCTGGAGTTCAAGAAAAGGAGCCTGTGGATTACAGCACAGGTTTGCAATGGCTTAGAAATTTAAAGAGGTCTTCCACCACATGGCATGTTTGCAAAGCACTAATGCTGAGCAAAGAGGAGCGTTCTCACCAGAATGCACCCTTAGAAGGTTGTGGTGAAACATGTCAAGTGAATCTTTCACATGGCCGTAAAATCAAATGTGAGTGTGCCATATCAAATGCTATTTCCATTAATAAGCAATACACCATTTCTTTACAAATTCAGCTCTGGAAACAACTTTCACAACTTTGGAAATAAAACTGTTATTGGAAAGTAAAGAGATGTACTTACCTGATTAGCAGCACCATCTCCATATAATGTCAAGCAGACCTCGTCTTTCCCATTGTACTTGCAGGCCAGAGCAATCCCTGCTCCCAGGGGCACCTAACATTAACCATCAAGAAATTCACCAGAGTTCAAATACTCTCCATTTTAACTCCTGGAGATACTTGGGGCAATTATACTAGTTCTCTGAATCTTCTTACCCCAACCCTGTCTCTATTCACTCTTTCAACAAAACATCAATATTACATTCTGTTTCAACCACAGCTCAGTTTCAAATCCCAAGATTTAACTACTAACCCTAACAAGTTAAAAAATGAAAACAAGATATGAAATATATATAATTGAATCCAGACTGGAGAGATGGCTTAGCAGTTAAGAGCATGTACTGCTCTTGCAGAGGCCCTGAGAATTTGGTTCCCAGGACCCACGTGGAAGCCTACAGCCACCTTAACTCTAGCACCAGGGGATCCAACACCTCTGGCCTCCATAGACACCTGTACTCACATTACATACCAACAAGCACACACATAAACACACAATAAAAGGGTGTGAGAGATGGCTCAGCAGTTAGGAGCACTGGCTGCTCTTGCAAAGGACCTAGGTTCAGTTTTCAGCACCCACATGGCAGCAAACCACCATCTGTAACTTCGGTTCCAGTGGATCTGACACCCTCTTCAGGCATTTCATATATGCAGGCAAAACACTTATACATATAAAATAAAAATAAAGACAGGGTGTGGTGGCATACACCTTTAATCCCAACACTCGGGAGGCAGAGGCAGGCAGATATCTGTGCGTTCAAGGCCAGCCTGGTCTACATAGCGAGTTCCAGGCCAGCTGGGGCTACAGGGACACCCTGTCTCAAAAAGACCAAATAAAATTTAAAAAGTTTAAATACATAAAATAGAATCCTACAGTAGACATGATATTGCATGATGTTAATGATTCATCACTCATGAGACGAGGACTCTGTACTCATTAAAGTGGGCTTTCAATTATTATTAGGCTATAGATCTGACAGCCCCTCTCTTCTAATCTGGCCTCAGTGCTCGCACTGCCTCTGAGTAGGAAAAGGAGGGTGAAGTGCTGCGATGAAGCATTAAATGTACTGAAGTCTAAAAGAACAGCTCCACTGCTACGGATTCTTGCTCACAAAACACATAGGAAAGCATAAGCTAAACCATTATCCAAATCTACCCATTAGTGGCTCAAATGGCAAATAAAAGAAGCAGTTAAGTCTTTAAAAGCAAACCAAACTCCCCACACACTGAAATCTTCCAGACAGAAGTTCTCTGGGGTGCATAAATTTCTGAAGACACAAGGCCAGACAAAAATCTACTGAAAAAATGAGATCTTCCTCAACTACCTGAGCTCCAACGATGCCATTGCCTCCATAGAAGTTCTTGGCGTACATGTGCATCGATCCACCTTTCCCTTTAGCACAACCTCCTCTTCGTCCTAGAAATGGCAACATATACATTCATGCATGAAAAACCAAGTACACAACGCAATTAAAACTACACCCCAAGAGGTTACTGAGTCCAATCCAGTTGTCTAAGCACCTGTCCCTCCTGCAAACATGTTCTTCCTTGTCTCTGTATCCTTTGATAAGGAAAGTTGGAGTAATCCCTATGCCCCTTCACCATTCCCACAGTGCCTGTTCTAATCACTTATTTGCCTTCAGATGTAATCTCAACATTTTTGTGGGGGGGGGAGGGCAAGGGCAGGTAAACATACCTTCTAACTTCTCCTACACTGGTAAACTAAATATTCAAGATTCAAGGAAGACACAGAAAAAAATGATTAAACAGATTCCTAGAATGTGCACTGTATATCAAAGTACTTCAACCTAATTAATTTTCTCTGACTATTGGGTTTCTGCTGGTCTGCCCGAGTGATTAACGCTATACTTTACAAACCTTTAAACTCTTACCTGAGGAGCCAGATGATCTCACAAATGGTTTACTCAAAGGCATACAGAGGTATCAGAATGACAACAACAACAACAAAATCCCTCAAAAGATTTTAACACTAATTCATAATGGTCAGCAACTCAATGGGAGATATTTGAAAACTTAACTCCACTGACTTCCCCTTTCTCTAAATCCACAGCAAACCTGTTAGCTCAGCAAGAATTGCTCGGACAGAAAGGCCCCGAGTGAAGGTGAAGCCATGAGCCCGATACGCTGTGATGAGATGGTCCGTGGGGTTTATGCCAGCCTCAAGGCCCACACAGCAGGCTTCCTGCAGTAGAGGAAGAAGGAACCATGAGGCAATGTGTTATGTGTTTGTGGATTAAAAAGTTTCTATTAGATCCAATGTAAAACATGAGTTAGCAGAACCTGTCATTAGTAGCCCACAGAAAATAACTATTTTTCATCAAAACAAAGGGTAGAGTAAGGCCCAATCCAGAAGCCATAAACAACCCACAAATGTGCTGTTTCCTTTAGCCTGGATAGTGATTAAAAAAAATCCTCAAGTCAGGTGTCAACAATAAAAAACTGATAGAATATCACACGAAAACCAAGTGTTCCCATATGGAAATAATTGGCTAGAACCAAATCTTGGCATCTCTGGGTGGGATATACCCATCCAAGCTCCCGATTGATCCATCTCACTGCTCTTCACATTCTGTTATACATGGCCTACTTTGCTCATTTACTCTACTTAGCTAGCTCCTTCGGGCATTGGAATCTGGAACCCTTGGCCTTAACCCATTGTGATGCTTAATATTGTCAACTTGAAAAGATCGAGACTCAGGTAAGAGACAAACTCTGGGCATGTGTATGAGGAAGTTTCTAGTCAGGGCTTTAGTGAGAAAGCCCACTCTAAATGAGAGTGGCACCATTCCATGGGCTGAAGTCCCAGACAGAATAAAGAAAGCTGGTGGAGCAGCAGAATTGGATTCACGCTTTCTGCTTCCTGACTGCAGATACAATGTAAGGAGCACCTACTACCATGTCTTGCCCAGGTGCTTCCTTATGTTACTTTTGTCTTGTATTTTGGTCACAGGATAAAAGTAACTAATACACTCAGAAGGCAACAAAATAACCCTTCCTCCCCCAAATGTATACAGTATATATGACTGGGATTCCAGAAAATTTTTAAATAGGAAAATTCTAAGAGCAGATGTAAGAAGCCAGCAATGTTGGGTGTTAATGAGTATCTGAGTAATGTGAATAACTTCATAGTGAGTTTTGGCATTCTAGTTTCTATTCTAAAATCCCAGCCTCAAGTCTTTCTGACATGAAAGGCAGGGTTAAAAAAAAAAACACCAAAAACAAGGTACATGCCCTTGATCCCAGCACTTGGGAGACAGAGGCAGGCAGGTATCTGTGAGATAAAGGACAGCCTGGTCTACATAGCAAATTCTAACCCAGGTAAGATTATTGGGAGCCCCTGTCTCAAACAAACAAAAAGAACCAATAAACAGAAATCATATTTAAAGCCAGGTGTGGTAGCTCATGCCTATAATCTCAGCACTCTGGAGACAGAGGCAGGATTGTGCAAATTCCAGACACTCCAGTGGTTAATGGTGTTTGGACACCAAGTCTGACCTGAGTACAATCCCTGGAACCCTCAGGGTGGAGGCAGAGACTGACTCCCACAGGCTGTCCTCTAATCCCACTGCCCCATACACACCCTGGCATATGTGTGCCACCCCACAACAACAAAAAAGTGTTACAAAAATTTTTTTAAACCAGGTGTGGTAACACACATCTTTAACCCCAGCACTCAGGAGGCAGATCTCTGAGTTTGAAGCCACCACGGTCCACATACCAACTTCTAGGCCAGCCAGGGCTACATAGTAAAACCCTACCTTAAAAAGATTTTTAAAGGATGGATGAGAGGGGAAAAGAATGAAGATGGTGGGCATGGAGTAAAGAAGGGAAGAAAGAAACCGTATTTAAATACCTAAATAACATGGCTTTATAACAAACTACCACTTACCTGACCATCACACAAATGACAGAACCCACGAATAATTTTCTGTTTATACAACTGGTCCGCCTTTAGCTCCATCCGGCGCACAGTCTGCATCATCCTGTAGTACTTGAGCCCATCCTCTCTGGTGAGCACTGTGGTGACTGGAGGGCCCTCTTCCAGCCGGTGAAGGTCACATTTCTGAAATGGAGTAAGGTGGTCATCTTCCACAAACACTGCTGACTCATTCTAAGATCTAACTCTACACAAGTAACACTCAACTTGAGAACAGCAAAGGACCACATTGGCAGTGCTTCAAGAGCTGTGTGTGATGGCAGACACCTGTGATCCCATCACTTGGGAGGGTGAGAGCAGGAGGATCAGGAGTTCAAAGTTATCCTTCACTATATAGAAAGTTTGAGATCAGGCTATGCTACATGAGGCTTTGTCTCAAAAACAAAGCAAAAAATAAATAAATAAAAAAAACCCACCAGCGCTTCTGCCTCCTTAAATATACAGTTATCAGTGTTTCTCTGAATTACACCGCATATCTTAGGCCTGGATGTGCAGCCTGTGGCCCAATGGCCAGGTACATCCCAGGATAGCTCTGTGTGCAGCCCAGCATATTTGTGACAGTGCCATGTCACAACTGCAAGACACTGGACACCCTCACTAGAATATATTTTTAAAGCTCATCTTCCCTTAACTACCAGCAAGTTGTTCTTGCTAAACTTCTCTGGAATATTAGGAAGAAAATGACCCCCAAAAGTAACAGCATCAAAATGCCCTATCCTGAAAGTCAAAATGTGAAGCACAATGCACCTGTAGAAAAGCCAGGAGCACCAAGTGCCACACCTTCTTACCTTAATCTCAAATGTAGCATCGTTTGCAAAATTACGGGATGCGACTATCACTCTGCTTGCCTAGAAGGCAAAAACATACAAAATCAGTCAGCATTGTTTCACTCTTAAGTAGTAACCTATCACCATCATTAATCTGTGCTTGGCTAAGGCAAAAAGGAAGGTGGCAAAACCCAAACCCATCCATTCTGTTGTCAAAGTGAGAGTGTAACAGGATTACTGGCCAGACTGAAGAAACCAGATCATCTGTGGGCTTTGTGAGGTTCACTTGCAAAAGAATACTTCCAATCAAACTATTGCTTAATCCCTATTTCAGGTAAACTACTTTTGTATGTATGACATGCACCTGTGAGGAAAAATAACTATTCAAAGTATGAGAAAACTACCTTAGTGAGAAACATCTGGGATAGAATCAAAGCTATTAACGCTCTCAACTAAAAACAATGGGCTTCAGCCAGCCATCTTCAAGAGAGGCCTAAATCTTGAGAAGGCTCTCCTGAAGTCCCAGCTGGAGGAGTCCTGTCTCATGCAGGGATCCTTTCTCGCTACTCAGGGGTACTGACTCCTTTCTACTCTCAAAACTGAACAGACCTGTGCACAGCAAAAACATTTGATGTGATGGCTAAGGCTCGGGTTAGACCACAAAAACTTAGAATGATTCTCCCAGGGTAGCCACTTTCTGCCACATTTTCACATACTGACAGGTAAACCAGCATCACTGCTTTTCATGGAGACTTGAAGCTGGTCCCAGAAAAACATGTTTGATGTATTGTAATAAAATCTATTTTGTTACCATGTAACTAGCACTGGACTTGATCTTGCTGAGGGCTTAAGATCAACCTAAGTGTACCTCTTGAGTATCTGAGCCAGTAGGCGGAAAGCTAAGATCTGCCCGCCCCCCGTCCCTCTCCCTCTTGGTCTTACTATGTAGTCTAGCTTGAGTGTGTGGTCAGTAGGCAAAGAGCTAAGTTTGCGGTCTCTCTCTTGCTCTTGTTCCAACGGGGTCTTACTATGTGGCCTAGTCTGACCTGGAGCTCCCAATCTCCCTGCCTCCACCTTTCCCAAAGCTAGAATTACAGGCATGCATCAACTTCTACTTATCTTTGAAGGGGATATATTCCAAGGAACCCCCCCCACACACACACACCACCAGTAGATGCCAAAAGCAACTAGCAGTACTGAACCCTGTTGGCAAGCACTGGTGACACCAAGACAGCTGACCTGATGACAATCAAGATAGCTCCTTGGTGACTAACCAGCAGGTGGGTGGAGTATACAGAGCAGATACCTAGACAAAGGGATGACTCACGTCCTGAGCTGGACAGTGCAAGATTGTATCATATTATCTAGAATGGCTCACAGATTAAACCTTGTGAATTGTTTCTTTCTGGAACTTTCCACTGAGTATCTTCAGACCACAGTTGGCCACAGGTAACTGAAACCAGGAAAGTAAACCCATGGAGAGGAGGGGAGGAGGAAGTCCGAGCAGGGACTACTGTACTATTATCTGATAAGGTCAACAGATAAAGACCAAGGAATACAGGCAAGGACACCACCAAAGGAAAAGAAATTCAAAGACCAGTAAGAAATGCTTCAATTAAATTAGAGGTACAGAGAAAGCATAAATATATCTCAAAATGAAAACAATTTAGAAAGTAAAACAAAGTAGCTGGGTAGCAAGCAAAAGGTTGTTTGGCAATTATGAAAAGTGCTGTTTTGGGGGCAGTTAAACAATTTTGTGGTCCCAGAAATATCTATTGTATTGCAAACTACATTTCCAGATACAACTATAGAAACCAGTTTGAGGAACACACTGAAAGTAGAGATCAAACCAGCCAAGAACTGGTAACAGAAAAAAGGTTAAGTCCTTTCTCAATTATAAAGTGGAAACAATGATGACTGATTACAACATAGTGCTACATACTATAGAGCCAGGGCAAAAATCACAGCTACGTAGAGCTACTTACTTTCTCTCCCCTGGCTTCAATACTATGTATCACAAAAATAAGTGGCACTGATACAACTGATGACTACAGCAAAGTTAAAAAGCTGGAAGTCCTATCAGAGGTGGGCCTGTACCGGAGTAATTTTTAACTGAGAGTTTTTTTGTTTTTTTTTTTTTGAGACAGGGTCTCCTGGTAGCCCCAGCTGGCCTGACACTATGTAGCCCAGGCTGGCCTCGATCTCACAGAGATCTGCCTGCCTCTGCCTCATGAGTGCTGGGATTAAAGTAAAGGCCTGCAGCACCATGCCTCAGTAACTGGGAGTTTTGAAAAGATAACTTCATTATTCTCCCCTACCCCCTGCAGAGGAATAAAATAATTATCTTTAAGTGGAATTCCTGATGGGGGAAGGTGCTGGGGATTGAACCCAGGACCTCATGTGCTAAACCTCTAAATGAAATTCTTTGGCAGACTATGAACAACCTATTCAATGAAATAAAACTTTAAGTTGCTAAATACACAAGGAATTATTCAAGTGATGGAGGAAAAGTATTTTAAAAGCTCCAGAATCTAGCCATGGCTGGTACAAACCTTTAATCAGCACTCAGGATGCAGAAGCAGGTAGGTGGATCTGTGTGAGATCAAGTCCAGCCTGGTCTACATAGCAAGTTCTAGGCCAGCTGGGTGGGTACAGGGAGACCGTTTTTTTTTTGTTGTTGTTGTTGTTGTTTTTTAAAAAAAAAAACAACAAAACAGCTGGGACCTACCAGCATTAATGTAAAAGCCTACCTTCTATGCAAAAAGCCAAAGAGATTGGTAGTCAAGAGCTCAAAAAAGAGATCATACCAAATACAAAGAATAAGACAGAATAAAAATTTTAAATGCAATTCAATCTGACAAGCTTTGAAAACTATCAACCTTCAACCTCATTCAAAAATAAAAATCACAAGTTTGTGAATTATGTCAGTTTCATACCCAAAACTCTTAAGATGAGAGAAAGGCAATCTACAAGCCCGTGGCAAGTCTCCAGATCTCCCTGGTTTTAAGAGGGAAAGGACAAACTGAGAATAAAATGTGAAAAGGTTCAAAACGTGCAGAGTCCTGAGACAGAAGATAATTTTTTAGGGGGGTTAATTTTAGGCAGAAGTGTCCCAGCCATGAAACCAACTGCCTAACTTTTCTCCCTCCCCTCACCGAGTTATCAGGCAGACATTGTGGCTCTGGTTTCACAAGTCTGTGTAGTTAGGGTGAGCCACTGTTCATTATTTGCCAGGGGGGTTTGTGAGGGTGAAGACACATTAGAGTTTAGTAGTCTACCCAGAGATTTTGGTCAACTTTAGTTTTCCATAGTCCATATTTTGAAAAGCTTCAGGAACGGTTCCTAATTAGTGTGTAACCAAGCACCAGTCACATAGAAAATCCCTAGCTACTAGAGAGTTTTCACCACCAAGTGAGAAAATAACCGGCCACTTTCTACGGTGACTTCATCTCTGAATTCAGTTTTTCTTCTACTGTAAGGTGATGACGAACCCTGTCAAATATAGGAAACCATAAACCTGACTTTCAGGCAAAGTAATAAACCTACGGTGAGTGTTTAACAATAAAGGTTTAATGATGCTTCCAGTTCCCTACTAGTACTGTCCTGTCTCCAAAAGGGAGCACCTCTTAATAGCAGAAATTCTGCAAGAAAGGTGGGACCTTTGTTTTTAGATTTAAACTTTTTGAATCGTTGTTTGAATTAAACAATATTTGATTTTTTTTTTCCTTCCCACATTATTAAGTGGTACAAAGTGTCTCCTGGTTTTCACATCTATTCTTTCATGACCAATGTCTTCAACTAACAATCTTTGGCAAACACCTAAGAAACATGTTAAAAACATGTCTACATTACTCATGTCCAATTAAAAACTGATGCTAGCTGGGTGTGGTGGTGCATGCCTTTAATTCCCAGCACTTAGGAGGCAGAGGCAGAAGAATATCCAAGTCAGCCTGCCTGGTCTACAGCCGGGGTTATAGGAAGACTGTGTCTCACCTCCCCCTGACGTTGCTAGATTAAAGCGTGTGAGGTTTCTGGCCTAATACACATAGAGAGAAGTGCACTTTGCTGCGGGGTCCAATTCAAACGCTAATACAGTATTTGGTGAAGTGTGTTTCTCCACTAGCCAATGGGATTCCCAAAGTAGTTTTGACCTTTCCATAGCCTGCCTATACCAAGCAGAATTGCTCAAATCTTGGAGAAATCACTAGAGCCAGAATTACAAGTCAAAGCCCGGGGGCAGTTATACCAAGAAACAGCCCTTCAGTGAGGCTAGAGGTGAAAATGCTAAAAAGCTTAGGTATTAGGCACCTCTAAAAACCCGGGCCATAAGTTTTAACCTCTACTTCCAATCCTCCTGTTTTCCTTCCCTACTTTGTACCCCGAGCCTCTGTTTAAGCGTGTTTAAGGGTAAAAAACTCCTCTGGGTTGAGCCGGACTGCTCTGAAATTGACCTCCAACGACAACAAAAAAAGCTGAGACGTGGAGGGAGTTTGTTTGCAGGCCTGACCTTATCCGAACCCGCCACAGAGCTGAGTACAGGTGAGCCACAAGTGTACACCCTGATGGGCACCCGGACGTGCCAGATGCTAAGCACAAAGGCTAACATACGTGCCTCTAGTTGAATCCTCAGGCTAACCCCACTGGGTAAGGATTCTTACTATCTTCATTATAGAGATGAGGAAACTGGGGCCCCGGAACTTTTTTTTTTTTTCTTAAATCACTTTGCTTTTTCTTGGAGCAAGGCTAGTAAATGGTGAGGTCAGAGTGTGCAGGGAACAGGGTCTCCAGACTCCTAGCTCTTAGCTACGTCCTATGCTGCAACTCAGCCAAGAGCACGGACAAGGAGTGTGAAAATGAGCGGAGTCAATCAGAGGCTGGAAGAGGCCCAAACTCCGCCTCCCAGAGTCCAGCAAAGCAGCGGGCTGTTCTGGGGCGCTGCTGTGGGGCCGAAGAGGAACCAGGCCAGCGCGGATGGGGGAGCGCGGAGGACGGGGCGCAGACCCCGAAGCAGCGCGCTCCGCAGGCCGGCCCGCTTCCACGCCGCTCCTCCCGATGCCCAGCGGAGCGCGCCACGCGGAAGGCCCAAGCGAGCTCCAGGAGTTCCTCCTGGGCGCCCGGCCAGACGCGCGCTCCGAGGCCCAGCCCGCCCTCCTTCGACCCCGCCTCAACCCCGCTCGCGCCCCCAGCCAGCCTGGTGCGCTCAGGCGGCCTCACCGGCTTCTGCGCAGCGCCGGCCAACACGCGGGACACAGCGGCAAGCATCTTTCTCATGGAGAGCACGCACACAAGGTGATACCGATGCCCAGACACCGTAAAGGAGCGGCTCGGGTGTCCCCAAGTCTCCTTCAGGCACCCTGAGATGACGCCACGCCCTAAACGCAGTGACGGAGTCGGAACAACGTCACGCGCCACGCCAGCCTACTGGCCAGTCGGAACGGCTGCGGGGGATGGCACCGCCCATTAAGAATTAACCAGAGAAGGGGCGGGGTTGTGGGCACCTTGCATCTCTATGCGCTGAGCTGGTGAGGAGGCGGGAACCGCTCCTTCAGGCACCCTGAGATGACGCCACGCCCTAAACGCAGTGACGGAGTCGGAACAACGTCACGCGCCACGCCAGCCTACTGGCCAGTCGGAACGGCTGCGGGGGATGGCACCGCCCATTAAGAATTAACCAGAGAAGGGGCGGGGTTGTGGGCACCTTGCATCTCTATGCGCTGAGCTGGTGAGGAGGCGGGAACCGAGGGCGCCTGCGTGGGATAGTGGCGGGGGGGGGGGGGGGGGGGGGGGGGGGGGGGCCGCCCCCCCGGGCGGGGTGCGGCCCCCCCCGGGGGGCGGGGGGGGGGGTGGGGGCGCTGGAGGCCCAGCCTTCCCAGTGCGTTGTGCACCACAGGCCTGCGGAGAAGGGGAGCGGGCCGGTCCTGCCGGTGGTGCACCTTTGCAGCCTTGGCCGGGTACCGAAAGCCAAAGCCGATGATGGTTAGCGAAGGGCGGGGGCCCGAAAGACAAACCATCTGGTTTCTAGAAATGGTTCTGCCACTAACTTGAATTTAAAAGATCACATGGGAATTGCAAAATGTTGCTCTTGTTTACTAGAATGAGAATAACAGAGATAGATTCACCAATTAAATGTTGAGAGTTGCCAGGTGCGGTGGCACATGCCTGTCATTCTTGCTGTTGGGAGGCTGGAGTAGAGCTGGGAATTGGAGGCCAGGTTTGCTACATATTTCAAGGCAAGCTTAGGCAACTTAGCAAGACTGCCTCAAAAAAATACAAATAAATAAAAAGCAGATGTTGCTAACTGGCCATATATGTACAAGAGTTCAGACTTTCGGCATACTTTTTTTGAGTTTCTCTTAGTTTGCTTCTTTCCATGAGGACTCGGTTTTAGGAAATCAGATTACACGTGAGTTTTCTGTGTATTGTACAAGGAACAAGGTAGAATCCTGCATCTCTTTTGTGCCGTTGTTTCCCAAACACTGTGAAGATTAAGACACCCAACTTTATGAGAACAGTGAAGGAAATGTATAAATGATTATTTCTCAAAGTTTGGAGCACCGTGATAGTCACAGAGGAGGAGATTATGTTGCATTAACAAGGTAACTTCAAGTTATAACTGAATCAGAGAAGCAGAGGTTCATTTTCCACTCATATGTCCCGCATGGATTGGCCAGGTACTTTTTCTATGATATCACTCAGGAACCCAGGATAAAGGGTGCTCTAATATTTCAATATATAATCTCCATAATTAATGCAACATGGGAAGAGGGAGTTTCCAGAAATTCTCAGAAGGACTCTCATAAGCTTTGGCTGATTTGTCCCTTTTCCCAGCAAATGGAAGTTCTGTCATCCAGGGAGGATGAAGGATGAAGTAAATACAAATAGTGGTGCAGAATAACCCATAGAAGAAAACCACAAATCCTTTACCAAGACATAACTGAGTAAAGAAAAGGAAAGGAGTGACATTTCCTTACAGTAGAATTGCAAATAATTAATGTCAAGGGAATGCTGAAAATATGGGACAGCTGTGTGTGCTTGTAATCCCCATGCGAAGAAGGCACAGGCAGGAGGATCCCTGGAACTTGCTAGTCAACCAGAGTAGCTGAATTAGTGCTCTACGGGTTCAATAAGAGACCCGGTCTCAGGAAATAGCATGGCGAGTGATAGAGGAAGACATTGGACATCAATTTCTGACCTCCACAGGCATGTGCACGCATTTACAAACACCACGGGGGGTGGGGGGATATATCACCATTTGGCAAACGCCACAGTCACCTTTGCAGGCAAGAATTGTTATCAATAGAGGCTAAAACAAAGCATTTGCATAATCTCCAAATCTCTCCCAACAAGAAATTTATCATTACAAAGGTTAAAATAACACTGCAATGGAGAAACAAGGGAACTGATGTCTTAATAACTACAATATTTTCTTTACACTCATTTTCACAAAAATCATAAAGCCAGAGCTATCAGGATGGCTCAGTAGGTAAAGATACTTGCCACCAAGCCTGAGAAGAGTTCAAACATGATGGAAGAACAGAACCAACTCCCATAAGTTGTCCTCTGACCTCCACATGTACACCTTGGCACTTGCACACCACACACACACGTAATTTTTAAAGAATGGCAAAGCTAGAGTTGGAAGCAACCTTGAGAGTGATGCTTTGTGATGCTGTATCAGGTGCAGGCAGGTGTGTGGCTATACCTGGTGGTCAATAACCAGGGTTACAGTATGTGCTAAAACATTCACGAAGGGCTCCAGCAGGTGGAGAGGAATGGCCTAAAGAGAGTCTTGAGAAAGGAGGGTTCCTTCATCTTGGATGAAATTGAAGACAATGGACTTTGCCTTCTAACTTCTAACACCTCCCACAACACTCACCAATTTATGACAGAGGTTTCTCTGGGAGATTTAGAAATTATATATGTTTGGGGTTTTGACTTTTCCTTTGCAAATCCCCTTAAAAGTTCTCAATCAAGCTGAATTTTAAGGCAAAGCATGGTGCTTGGCATGTTCTCCCTGAGAACTAGCCTCCAGCAGAGAATAAGACAATCAAACTCATAAAAGTCAGCAAACATCAGCAACTATCTGTGATGAGCTGGCACCATGCTGGCAGAGGGATTATAGCTGGTGCCCTTTTGACATTAGAATGATATGAAGGTTTTGCATAACCATAACACACAATAAAATGGCAATAAAATTCAAGAAACCAATTTAATCATATATCAGGTTGCTGGCATAATGCATAGAAAACAACCTCAAGTTACTTAACACCAGGGGAAAGTGGTTATGCCTCTCAGTGGGATATATCCTCCAGGCAAAATGAGATTGCCATATATGCAGATATATGTGTGTATTATATGTATCTATAATTATTTTTACTTAGTGTTATTTTTTAATTGGTGCTTGAGATTGAACCCGAGACCACCTTGGTCTCATCAGTGCTTTTTTGCGAAATTATATACAGAGATCTACATGCACACACGCACGCACACACACACACGCACACACACACACACACAAAGTGAATATATAATGTTAATGTCATTGGGGGCTGGGGAAATAGCTCAGTTGGTAGAGTAGTTACCGTGCATGCGAGAGGCCCTGGGTTCAAATTCCACCACTGCATAAACCTGACAGTGGTGCCAGCCTGTAATCCCAGAACTTGAAGGCAGGAGGGTGGAGAAGTTCAAATTCATCTTTGACTACATAGTAGTTTGCAGCCAGGCTGAGTTACAGGTCCTTTATATTTATTTTTTTAAGTCATTAGGAACCAAGATATTCATCATAAAAGAAGAGACATAAACACAGACTTCAATAAGTCAAAGCCAAGAGGGCCTAACTCTGTCCCCCAGAAAGTTCTAGAAGTAAAGATCAGTTTGATGATGATTCTTCTGACAACTGGTAAAGAAAAAAAAAATTCAGGGCTTCTCCCTGCCTTTCTGTGCACACTCAATGTCAAGGGAAAAAAATGATCAAAGAGGAATAATTCTTCATAGAACAGTTTCCCTTAACATTAAAAGAAGAATCAGAGGTTGTTTTTTGTTGGTTGGTTGACTGGTTTTGGGGGTGCTTTTTTTTTGAGACGGAGCCTCCCTGTACCTCAGCTGGCCTGGAATTCACTGTGTAGACCAGGCTGGCCTTGAACTCACAGAGCTCTGCCTGCTTCTGCCTCCCCAGTGCTGGGATTAAATGCTAGAATTAGAGTTGTAATGCCTTGTCTTACAAGCCTAGAGGAGACAATAGATCCCACTACAGAGGGACTTTGGAACATGGGTCACATTGAAAAGGACTCAACCCATGGCTTGCGCTTTCTGACTCATGGGAAATAAAGTGACCTCATTGCCTGTGAAATGTTTCAGCCTCCCAACCAAGAAGAGAACCACTCAAGCTTCTACCAGCCAAAGAGGACCTATTCTTCCTGGTGAGAAATGCAGGAAACTTTAAAGGACAGATAACCTAGTGTTTTCATTAAGCAACTGGCAAGATTGAAAAAAAACAGGGAGGGAACTGTCTTATATTAAAAAGAGACTTGTTAACCAAATAAAATGGATGCATCTATCTTGACTGGATCCCAACTCAAATAGAAGGTGTGCAGAAAGTACATTAGGCAAACACTGACTGGGTGTTTGGAAGTTTGTCAGTATTAAAAACTTTTTGCTGTGCAAAAGTGGTATTAAGATGATTTTCAAAAAGAACCTTACCTTTTATACATGCATACTAGGGTGTGTGTGTGTGTGTGTGTGTGTATGTGTATGGTGTTCAGTTATAGAATCCAGAGCCTCATGCATGCCACATGCCAGTCAAGTGGGCTAACATTAAGCCATACCCCAGTCCCCGTGTACTGAAGATTTTATGGAGGTGATGAGAATGTCTGGAAGGAGCTTTAAAATACCCCAGTGATATTGATAGCTGTGATATCAATAGCCGTGCTGGGGTGTTGGAGTCATACGGAGGCAACAAGATGGCTATGATTTGGTGGTTGTTACAGGCAGTGATGACTATGTAGCTGCCGGTTGCTGTATATTTGAAATTTTTCATTACAAAACCAGCAGTGGGACTGGAGAAAAGAGCACTGGCTGCTCTTGCAGGGGACTGGGGCTTGGTTCCCAGCATCAACACACATAGCAGTTAACAACTTTCATAACTCCAGTAACAGGGGATCTGACACCCTTTTTTGGCCTCTGAGGGCATTGCATGCATGGATGTGCTTACATATATGTAGGCAGAACACTCATATACATAAAATAAAAATAAATAAATAAAATCAACCAACAACAACTAACCCCAGCAGTGCACACACCAGACAGCAGTGTAGATTATCTTTAATTAATTACAAAAAATTATATTGTGAGTTTGAGGCCAACCCAGTCAACATAGTGAGTTGAGACCTT